TTCAAAATGGTCACCATTTTTTTACTTTTTTTTACTATAACTTGAAAAGTAGTGAAGCGATTTTGTTCATATTTGATATGTGAATACTCGTGAGCCTTGCACACTGTCTCATGACACTTCGCTTTATAGGTGGCTATTTTAAAAAATGGCTGTCATTTTTACATGTTTCACTTGGTGAAATCGATAAAATAATATATAAAAAGATGTTTTATTTTCGGATATTTGTGTAAAAAGATGCGTAATAATACAGTATTTCCATTCAGTATTGTAATTATTATATTATATTATGAAGGAAAAAAATATAATCAGCATAATATACTACATTATATAGAGATTAATATAATATAATTAGAAATAAGTGAGATCCAAATATATTATTTGTACATATAAACATTTACCAAATCCGATTATCTCAATAAGAAAATGTAGCAGAATGTTTTATTCCCGGTATAATACCACCTGGATTCACACAAGACTTAATTACTAATGACTCATTAGATGGAAGCTTTTCCACAATTATGAGCAGCCAAAGTACCCCTACTACTAGTATACCAGAAACGCAATCACAAACAGGTGATGCAAGCCCTGCCAATTCACAGACTGTAAACCTTCAAGTACCAGCACAATCAAACACTGGACAATCAGGTGTATCACCACCTACACATACACCTACCAATTCAACAAACGAACCACCCCAAGCTAGTGGTGTACCCACACGGCGGCGCAGCAAACGCAGACTGGCTAGATCTCAACCTGCACGCCCTAGCACTGTGATATCTAAACCACGCAGAGGCCGCCCACGTAAGACTGCTCAAGCGTCGCAAGGGGCTAACAAACCCCAAGATCCCACATCCTCACATCCTATTGACTTACTGACAGTTATGAATATGGTGAGGGACCTGAATGAAAGTGTCAAGAACCTTAATAACATGCAAAAAACTAATGAAGATTTAGTTAAACAACTCGCTAGGATAACAGCAGATAAGGAGGAATTACATCGAGAAAATGCTGCACTTAGAAAACAACTGAGCAATGCTAGTACAATGCCAAACAATACCCTCCCCTCTCTCCTTATTGGCTCTTCCATAGTGCGTGATGTAGACTCAACCAAGCTTGTTAACACTGAAGTAAAATGCTTGCGTGGTGGAACTATTTCAGATGTTCATAAAACACTTTCATCTGGTGACACTAACTACAACACAATTTACCTGCAAGTCGGAAGCAATGATTGCGCCTGAGGTAATGATGTCAACCTTATATGTGAGGACTACAAATTACTCTTGGCAGGTGCAAAGCAGCGCTCAAAAGACATCATCGTTTCAAGTGTTACACCTAGAATGGACGACTCAGATGCCCAAAGCAAAATTGAACAACTAAATGGATTCTTACTCTGCCATTGCTCCGATGAGAAAATCACATTCATCGACAATGACAAAATCTTCAAACTTCAGGATGGGTCCATCAATGATGGCTTTCTGGCTGCTGACCACCTACACCTATCTGATTCTGGAACTAACCGACTTCTGAAGAACCTGAACATTTCAACAAAGGCATCTGACATAACATTACCTAAAAACAAGCGAGCCCCACCCAAGCGCACAACCCAAAGACCACAGCAATCCACACAAAAGACACCACCCAGCCCATATGACTCTGACGCCAACAACACCCCCCAGCATCCACCACAGCATACAACCCGCCCCTGGAACAATCGTAGACCTACATCAAATGGTTACATAAACACTAGCAAAGCAAAGCAACATAACGCCTACAAACCTACTACCCACAATAACAATGCAATAAACAATACAATTAAGTGCAAAAAATGTGGTGAACCAGGACATCTAGTTACAACATGTTGGCACCCTGCAACTGTCCGGTGCCATCTATGTAAAGAACTGGGGCACAAGCAATCCCTGTGTCCAAGACCCCTACAACAATCAGACTCTAACATGAATGGTAGCAAAACAGACAATTATCCCAGGGTTAAACCACAAAGTTTACTACAACATAAAAACTCTTACCCTTTTAATGGACCAAACTATGAATCTTTTAACAGGTTTTCAGTGCTAAGCTAAAATCACGGCAATGAGTGTGCCATATCCAATGTAAAATCCATGGCCTCACCACCTGAACCAGTCTCCAAGTCTTATAACAGTAATGATACATGTAAGTCGAAGAGACCAAGCCCAAACATGCGCCCAAATCGTGGTAGACACAGAAGATCACGGAAACACAAAAATAATGTGCATATCAACAACCTTACCCTAGTATTTAATAATGTACAACACCTCGGTCTTGCCAAACAGCAAGAACTTAAAAGGTTCCTTGATAACAATAAAGTTCACATTATGGGTATGAGCGAAACCTTCCTAACGTCTAACTCCTCTCTATCAGCAACGTTTTCTAACCACACGTTACATAGTAAACCAAGGTTAGGACGCCAAGGGGGAGGTATCGGTATTTTAACCTCTAATACTGACATTAAGGTGACCAATGACAACCTCCTTAATTCAAAAACCGATGATTTTGAACGGTATTGGATTCGCACTAAGGTAGGTGATAAAAACCTTGCACTTTGCATAGCATACTACCCCAACGATGGAACCAGTAATGATAAGGCAGATCAGTTAACAGAAGAATTAATATCAAATGTAGCAACTTTGGAGTCCATGGGTGACCTAATTTGTGTAATGGGTGATTTTAATGGTAGACTTAGAGAATTTAGAAATGAAAAGAGGCCTAGTCCAAATGGGAATCTGTTAGAGTTACTAATTGAAGTTTCTAACCTTAATGTTTTGAATTTATCCCCTAGATGTAAGGGGAAGTATACTTGGTTTAGGAATAACCTTGTTTCTACCATTGACTATATACTCATTAATGATAAATTCAATCATTGTTTTGATAATATGATAATTGACGAAGCCGGGAACTTTTCAATCGGTAGCGACCACTGTATGCTTATATCATACTTTAATATTCAGGCTGCAAAAGCACTTAATATATCTGGACCTTTCCCAGACAACCGAGAAAGTCCCAAAATCTGGAAAATAGATAATGATTCTGACTGGAAGTTATTTGAGGAAAAACTATCTTTTAGATTAAGCAATTGGAAATCATCAAGTTTTAAATCCCTGGATGAAATGTGGCTTAATTGGCGTGAAATAATATTAGATGTAGCAAATGAGGTAATAGGTCACAAGACTATTTCCCATAAACTGCGATCATTTTGGGACAATGAACTGAAGCAACTAATCAAAAATCGCAAAGAAGCTAACAAATTTTGCAGGTTTTGGAGAGCATCGGGAATCACAGATCTCGAGGCTTTTCAAGACATTTGGAACATTTATTTAGAAAGAAAAGAAAAAGTTACATTATACATTAAAAGGAAAATGATTGAAAATCACATTAAGGTTATTACTAAGAATGCAAGCAATAAATCTTCAAGCTCCAAATCATACTGGAACACCTTAAATATGTTTAATCAAAAAAGTAATGCCCCTATTAGAATTGCTCACCCAAAGTACCCAGATATCATTATCGATGACCCCAAACAAGTCTCTGCTATTATTAGGGAATATTGGGCAAAGGCCGGTAATAAAAATCGCAATAAACATTCCTCTGTCAATGATTTTTCCAAAGACCTTAAACATATGGAAATGAATCTTACAGACACAGTGGACCCTACGAAAAGCATAATTGATCAAGTATATTTTGACAGGGAATGCCTTGCAACACACATTAAGAAGTTGACCAATGGCAAAGCCATGGGTACAGATTTAATTCCAAACGAATTTTTAAAATATGGCGGCCAGGCAATTTCTGAAACACTTTTCGATATTTTTACCCAGTGCAAGGACTTTGAAAAATTCCCAGTACAGTGGAAGGAGGGTGTTCTAAACCAGTTCATAAAAGTGGAGATCAAAATATCCAAGATAATTACAGAGGTATTACAGTGACCTCAAATGTATACAAGCTATTTTGTTCAATTGTAAATGTCCAACTTACCTCTTTCTGCGAAGAAGAAAATATTTTTGGAGAAATTCAAGGGGCGTTTCGAAAAGGTCTAAGATTAGAAAATAACATATTTACGATGAAAGCTTTATGCAGTCTTAGAAAAAGTGAACGAAAAAGCACATACCTGGCATTTTTAGACATTTCAAAAGTGTATGATGTAATCGACCGCGACCGGATGTTTTTGGCACTTTGGAAAAAAGGAGTTAGAGGTAAGTTGTGGAGACTATTACGGCAAATGTATCATGATAATAAGACTAAAGTTGCCTTCGGAAACGGAAATGAAACAGATTGGTTCACTCAACCATATGGAGTTAAACAGGGTTGTGTCTTATCAACAACTCTGTTCTCCATCATAATGACTGATCTATATGACCAGCTGATAAATGCAAAAGTGGGTATAAAATTTGAAGAACAACTTATCCCAACACTCATGTTTGCAGATGACATTGTCCTCTTTGCTAACACTGAAAATGAACTGAATGCCATGCTCAAAATTGTTAATGAATTCGCAGTCAAATGGGGCTTTAACTTTAGTCAGAAAAAATCGAAAGTTATGGTTATTGGGAAGAAAACAGACAAGACAAAAGAATGGTCATTTGGAGACTTGAAACTGAGTGAAGTGCATTCCTACAAATATTTAGGTTATATTTTCCACAAAAACCTTAGAGACAATGACCACATGAATGAAACAGCCCTAAAAGCAAAAAAGCTTAATGGATATATCAAATACACATTAAATAGACATATGAATGTTAAACGAATTGACTTTGGAAACCAACTTTATAAAAGTAAACTCTTATCCAGTGTCCTTCACTCATGTGCTATATGGGCTTCGGACAATAAATCTTATGAAACGCGCCTTAAGTCAATGCAATATAATGCAGGCCGTGCTATATTTGATATTAAAGGAACACCAGCATACGAAGCCATTGTGTCTGATTTGGGTTGGACCCCCATGAAATATACGGTTTTAAAAAGACAAGTTGAGTACTATATTTATATCAAATCTAAAAAACCAACTTCACTTAATGCAAGACTATTAGCTTGCATGGAGAAAAGGTTTGAAATGGGCAAAGGGAACCACTGGAACTATGTTAAACATATTGATGCTACCCTCAAACTGATGCAATTAAGCGGTATCTCTGAAACTGCCGAAAATATTTCGTACAGTTACCATAAACAGATATTAGATCTCTCAAAAAAGTACATAAATGAGGGTATTTTGGAAAAAAGTAGTCTCAACAAATACCATCAACTTAATCTGATCCCAAAAAAGGGAAGAGCAACATACCTTTATAATGATTATGACTTCCAGTTGTCACGCATAAAATTTTTAGCACGTGCTGGTAAGTTTAATCTAAACTCAGAGAAATCCAAATGGAAAAATCTAAACCCACCCATTTCACCCTACTGCGAAGAGTGCCCAGATAAAATCGAAACCCTGGAGCACAGACTTTTTGAATGCCCCTCTTATGAAACTGCGAGAAACAAGTTTTATTTGGAAATGAAAAATCAAGTCCCTAGTCCAGTTTTAGAAGTATACCTTGAGTCAGAAACAAGCGATAAATTAAAATGGATAATAGGCGATGAGGCCAGGATTTTAGGTGGACATGATATAAGCGTCACGGTAGATAGATTAAATAAAATATTACTGAAGAACATCTTCTGATTTTATATTTTTAATGCATAATGAATGTTTTTAAAGTGATTTTAGTTAAGTTTCTTTAAGCCATGTATATAAAGTTTTAATTTTTGAGTATAGACGCACCCATTGAGAGTGCCACTGTTACAAATAGTGTAGTGTCTAAATAAATAAATAAAAATAAAAAAATATTCTTTTTTTAGAATTATTTGCGCCAATTTATATTTATTCTGTCTTTCTAAAATATTATTTGGTCATATTTATCAATCCAAACTGATGATTGCAGTCTATTTAGATTTTTTTCTATTCTAAAAAATATTATTTTCTAGTATTTTCCAATCTAAGCAGAATATATCAAATTATATTGTATTATTTGGGTTCTAAAAAATATTATACTCGATTATTCTCGTCCAACTTGTTGTACAATCCATCTGGTTAATTACTTAACCAAACAAAACAAAGAATGCACAGCATGGCAGTTAATAGGATTAACCGTTCTACTGGCCTTCTCATCTCTATTACTTACACATGTCACACATATTTTATTTTGACTGTTCTATTTCTATTTGAAAAATATTTACAAATAAATGTTTAGAAGAAAGAAATTTAACTTGTTTTAAATTGATGTTAACAATGGAGTAAAAATGTGCAAAAGTCATCAATTAAAAATCAAATAATTAACTTTCCAATGAGTTAATCGATTCAATCCAAATTTTAACACAATGTTAATCATAGAAAGAAGGATTTTATACAATAAAACAAATATGAAAAACTTAATTTGCAAATTATTATTTTTGTGGAAAATAAAACAATCGGCTCTAGATATTAATCCATTCACTCTAACTAACGGATTAACTCTAACAATCGGATTAGTTATCAGTGAACAAAACTCATTTCATAGAAATTGAAAAAACTTAGAGATTAAAGTATTACTTATATTGCTCTGTCATCAATACATGTACATGTATGTGAATGGTGAAAATCTTCATGATTTTGAAAGAATTGTTGGCCAAGGGGAGGGGATTTTTGTGGCTGGCAGAGTGAATACGGGTGGTTGTTTGTGCCTGTGTAAGAGTGGCGCTTAAATGTTGTTTGTTGTTAACTTTATATGGCAGAGAAACAATGGAGTAAAAATGTGAGGAAACCCATTGATTAAAAATTAACTTTCCGTTGAGTCAATCAATTTAATCCAAATTTTAACACAATGTTAATCATAACATAAGGGACATCATAGAATCAAATAAATATGAAAAACTTGGTTTTTAAATTATTTTTTGTGGAACTTAGAATTGTTGGCTGTAGGAAATTAATCCATCGCCTCCAACAAACGGATTAGCTTTCAGTGTTAACAAAACACAATTGAATAATTGGGGATTAAAATATTACTTATCATATTGCTCTGACATACATGTACTGTATGTGAACATGTTACAATCGGCTCTAGATATTAATCCATTCACTCTAACTAACGGATTAACTCTAACAATCGGATTAGTTATCAGTGAACAAAACTCATTTCATAGAAATTGAAAAAACTTAGAGATTAAAGTATTACTTATATTGCTCTGTCATCAATACATGTACATGTATGTGAATGGTGAAAATCTTCATGATTTTGAAAGAATTGTTGGCCAAGGGGAGGGGATTTTTGTGGCTGGCAGAGTGAATACGGGTGGTTGTTTGTGCCTGTGTAAGAGTGGCGCTTAAATGTTGTTTGTTGTTAACTTTATATGGCAGAGAAACAATGGAGTAAAAATGTGAGGAAACCCATTGATTAAAAATTAACTTTCCGTTGAGTCAATCAATTTAATCCAAATTTTAACACAATGTTAATCATAACATAAGGGACATCATAGAATCAAATAAATATGAAAAACTTGGTTTTTAAATTATTTTTTGTGGAACTTAGAATTGTTGGCTGTAGGAAATTAATCCATCGCCTCCAACAAACGGATTAGCTTTCAGTGTTAACAAAACACAATTGAATAATTGGGGATTAAAATTTTACTTATCATATTGCTCTGACATACATGTACTGTATGTGAACATGTTATTTACATCAGTTTGTTCTACCATGCACCAATTTGCTCAAAGCGTAATCATCGCTATGTCAGATGAAACATTAGGAATAAATATAAAATGTTTCTTTATTTCCCGCTTCTTTATTTTCATTATCAAACAACTAAACATACTGAATATACATTTGAAAATGGAAAACAATAAATTAATTAAAACCAGCTTTAAATGGTCCAATTGTAGAAGAACCAAATGTATTACATCATGGACTAATCTGTTGTTTATATCCCCAGTTTATATCTCAGATATATGGATAACAGAAAACGCATGAATTGTGAAATGTGAGAGAATACACGTTTTAATTTTGTTTTAGCATGGCTTAACACCACTTGTATCAGTTAACCTAATGTACCTTTCTTATTTATTATCATCGATTTGCCAGAAGAAATCGGAGCAAAATGTGAGTAAAAATGTGAGGAAACCCATTGATTAAAAATTAATTTTCCGTTGAGTCAATCAATTAAATCCAAATTTTAACACAATGTTAATCATAACATAAGGAACATTATACAATCAAATTAATATGAAAAACTTAATTTGCAATTTATTTTTCAGTTGAAATTAGAACCATTGGCTGTGGAAATTAATCCATTAACTCAAACAAACAGATTATTTATCATTGTGAACAAAACTCAAATCATGGAAATTGAATAATTAGGGATTAAAGTTTGACTTATTATATTGCTCTGGAATGTCATGAATACATGTATGTGAATGGTGAAAAACTACATGATTTTGACAGAATTGTTGGCCACGGGGAGGGGGTCCTCAGCTACGGGTCTGTATAAAATGCGTAATGTGTTTATTGAATATTGAGCAGTTCCCTGTCATGACTGTTTTTCCGGTTGGCAAAGTGAATACAGGTGGTTGTTTGTACATGGGTAAGAGGGGATCAATTTAAATGACAGAGAAACAATGGATTAAAATGTGAGGAAAACAAATTAATTAAAAATTAAAAAATTAACTTTACAATGAATTAATTGATTGAATCAAAAATTTAACACAATGTTAATCATAACATGAGGGACATTATACAATCAAATATGTATGTAAAAACTTATTTTGCAAATTATTTTTGTGGAATTAGGAGCCATCAGCTGTAGAGATTAATCCATCAACCCTAACAAACAGATTAATTATCAGTATGAATGAAACTCATTTCATAGGAATTGAATAATTAGGGATTAACGGCTCAAAAATAACTGCGTATAATAGGTTTTTGATTGCAAATGCCAACATATTATTTGCTCCTGACAGGAATATTATTCTATATTATTTGGCATTATATGTTGTTCCCTTTAAATAATACACGAATAATATTATTAAATCAAAAATAATTCTTAAAAATACGTATTATATTTTTTTCCGTTATAATAAAAGAAATAACTGCCTATTATACAGGAAAAAATATTCTCTACGATTCTCTCTTAATGCAACTTATTTAGCAGTATATTAAACATTTTATTCTATATTATTTTTACTTTTTTACCAAGTGTTTTACTATAACTCGAAAAGTAGTTGGAGTGCTTTTGTTCATATTTGATATGTGAATACTCTACCCTCTACCCTTGGCACATTGTCTAATAAAACTTCGGGGAGTAGTCAGCCATTTTGAAAAATGGCCACCATTTTTATGTGTGTTATTTTGCATTTTTTATTATAACTCAAAAAGTAATAGAGCGATTTTGTTCATATTTGATATGTGAATACTAGTAAAGATTGCATACTGTCTTATGACATTTTGGGTAGTAAGTGGCCATTTTGAAAAATGGCCACCATTGGCCATTTTTTAAGAATTTTATATGTGGCTATACTTAAAAGCATATTACTTCTTCTGATGACAACTTGGCTAGTGATCAACCATTTTGAAATGGTGGCCTTTCTTATGGGTGTTATAGAATGATGTTTGCTATATTTCGTTTGTAAAAATTGCCAGCCATTTCTGTTTGATAGTACACTGTAGTTCATGTTTGAGTATTCAGGTTTCGCTGGACAAATTACCAGAAAAGCAGGTTTCACTGTATATTTTACCAGACATGCATGGAGTTGATTGCAATTAGTTGATTGGAGTTCATGCTTTCCCCAGGATGCTTTCTACAAAATGTAATCAAACTCCATGCTTTTCTTGTAAAATATACAGTGAAACCTGTTTTTTTTGGTAAATTGTCCAGTGAAACCTGTATACTGAAACTGGTACTACTGTTCCCGATTTTTAGGATTTTTAGAGAGTATAGCTTTTTGTTTCCTTATTAGCATTGACTGATATATTATTATAGCTGCCCTGTCAACCCTCACGCATTAGGCGTGATTGTCACGCATTTGCTGGAAAAATAGAAATCACGCATTAATTTAGCATGTATGATCAAATATCACGCAAATCACGCATTTTGTTGATATTTTTAAAAATCGTTTTTTGTGAAATACCGACTCTGTAAAAAACCAAACGGCGAAAAAAAGCGAACGCATTGTGTTCGGTCTTTGCACGCGATTGCCGTTTATGTCACGCATTTGGTACAAAATATGTGTATATATCACACATTTCTTTCGAAAATATTTAAACCTAGTCAGCAGTCGCCAGCAGACATAAATCAGACATGGGATTTCCTTCTCATGAATGGTTTCTCGTGTTGACAAGCATGCCCAAGTGAAAAAATCCAATGGACGTTGCATATTAAATGCCGACCTTATACCGACCTAATGTAGTTGTCTAATACCGAACTAAAACTGATGAAATCCTTCTAAAAGGACGGGTGTCATTAAGGGCCCTTTTTAGCCCCCAAAGATATCTGATAATAATGCATACCATATTGAAGAAAAATCATTCCTGCCTCATAAAAATACAATTTCAGCTAATTTTGACCTTTGATATTCACACATTAAAATGTAATATATGAAATACTGAAGAAAAGATACGATTAAAACTATTTCATTGGAAAAGCACATAGGGCAATATTGGCAAAATGCAAATGCTATTTTGGTAGGTTCTGGGCTAGCAATGGGTACATTTCGACTGTGACTGTAATGGATTACTATTGACTTTTATCAATAT